AACTGCCAATTTTGTTCCCGTCGGTTTTACGTACTTAACCAAGCGCTTCTGCATCCCCGCTATTTCGCACGAAACTGTTAATCGTTTCTGCCGAATTCAGTTAAGACCCACCTCCTAGTTCTGCTGCTGAACTCCGTAAGTGTCGGTGCCGAAAATCCTCGTACAACTTGGTCAGCTGCAGGTTGTCCCCTGGAAGAACCGGTGTATCTAGCGTGCCCACCCGTCGCCACTCTCATCGCCTGTGGTTAACCACACTAGCAACCCACAAAAAAGAAGGTGCTTTTCCATGCGGAACCCAAAACTGTGGGTCTACCGGGACCGAATTTCACGGAACCTAGCCTGCATCGACGCCGCAGATCTCGCAGTTGGACTTCCCCAGATGGCCTCGAGGTACACCGTAAAACACGTAAAACAGCTGGCGAGCAGACGTTCACCCGTCTCCCACCGTCGAAATTGCACCCGAAAATCATGGTTGCGGAATCAAGCCCCGAAGTATTTTCTGCTTTATGGCCCCGACATTTCCGCCGTTTACCCTAATACTCTGACGTTCACCCATCTTCGTACCTGTCGGAATTACTTAGCAAATCCCAAGCATCCTTGGCAATACACCCCTCGCCGTGCCTCCATGTGTGAGATATCCGACCCTTCCGGCGCCCACCGAGTAGACCCCGAAATTCACGGTGGAGTGGTGTATGGGCTTAGCCTATCACTCAAGTAGCTTGAAACGGCACCCGCAACTTTCCCTCCTTTTTTTTTGCTTTCGCCCCCCGACAATTTCGCGTGCTGCCGCTCACCCAACGTCCGCTTTTGTCGGATGAGGCATTCTTCGTGTTGACTCGTGATTTTTCTGGCGTTCGATAAAGGCGCGAACGCAATCGTAGTCGGAGCAAGTTTATCATATCAAACTCTCAGTCGGCCGCTTCGCTGCCCACCGTGCCTATCGCGCTTAAAAACTCCCCAGCTTCGGGACTCCGTCTTCGCTGCTACACCGCCGTTGGGTAGACCGTTGAAGTTGGAGAAACACCGACAGATGCCTCGCTTTTTTCAGTCCTGACTTTTTCGGCTGGGTAAATGTTGCCGATGGTCCGTTTTTGTGTCGGGGCCGAGCAGTGTCGCACCACGAAATGTTTTCTTGTACGCCCTGTCGTCGAACCAGCGCCACCCGCGCCTTGCTAACCAGCACAGGGCTAAAACACAGGGCCCCACCTTTTTATCCAGGGGCCAACAGGACTTACTCATCGCCTTCGAAGCCGTCTCGTGTGAGGTACGTGAAAGGTCGGTAGACTTTGGCCGGTAGGGAGCTCCTTCTGCTACCGCCGCTTAGCCGCGAAACCCGGCCTCAGCAAAAAGTCGTCGCAGTAGGTCGTTTTCTCCCCTCCTGAAGCTCGGAATCCGTTTCTCTCGCCAGACCCGTATTTGTCGCAACTCCGTTTATTGTAGCCGGTAGACCAGGCGAAATTCGCGGGTCTAAACGCTGCACCAAACCGTTGTCCTGTCGGTGTACTGCCCTATCTGCGGCACAACTTCCCTTGATCAGGAGGAAACTGTGTAGCTTGAAGCACAGTGTCGGCTGCTGCTGTTGCTCCGAAATTTTCGCCGATCTCGATGCAGGCACAGAAGTGACCCTGACGCGAACAGTCTAGTCGTAGGCGGCCTTTTCCGATCTTTTCGGTGGTTTGAAAATAACTTCCGTCCCACACTGTGCCGCTCCTGCCGAAAACGCCAACGACGCACCCTCCTGCAGCAACACCTGCCGCACCCGGGCGGAACGACGGTAGACCCCCGCTTTCTTCGGGCAGTCGCCACGCCGCCTCTCCTCGTCATCGGTTTTTCTCATGCAATTCCTCTTGCGCCTGGCTGCCCGCACAGCAGTCATTTTCCACGTGCTGCTACTCCGAAATCTTTGTGCACAGAGACCACGATCGTCACTTGCCGAAGACCTCCAACGGACTCATGCGCAACGTGACGAAGAAGCCTGACGCCACTTGCTGCATGCAGTCCACTCCGAATTTGTCGGGCGCAGTTGTCGACCACGTGCCGGCGCAACTCGCACGACGATCTTGCTTCCGACAACTTCGGACGTGCAGCGACGGCAATCCCGCCGACGTCAGCTGCCACACTGCATTAACTGCGAAGCTGGCGAAAAACACAAGTAGTTAACTCACACGTTAATTGCGACGACAGCAAAAGCTGTCCGCCACCCGGGGGGAGGGAGGCCACGGTCCATCTCGACCGTCGAGGGCAAGGATCCGTCGGTGCAGTAGGAGCGCCCGTAAAAACATGGCCGCTAGGAGCAACTATCCGTTCTCCTGGCCGGCTACTGCGCTGCTCCTGTCACCACGGCATCCTTCCCTATCGGCATTGGTTCGGTACGAAAGTGTAGGCCGAGCCACACTGACGCGAAGTGCTCGGGGCTGTCCTCGCTAGGAGCAGCCTCTACAGTAATGAATGTATATTCATTACACTCTCCCTGGTTTTATGTTGTGTGATGTTGTCCTTTCAAGAGATTTATGTGTTCGTTGAATTTGCGTCACCTCGTTTCGTGTCGCCTTGATGGTGCAACGTCGCTCCATTTGCTCACGCACGGTAGCCTAGTTCGCGAAAGGATTTCCGCGGCGCGGGTTTTGGTCTCGTGAACTTTTTTTATCGCGCTCGAATTTTTACACAACCCGAAAGAAACACACTCCACCTTCTATCGCGAGCGGTACGCGCTCCCGACATTTTAACTTCAATGTGGTACTGTACATGTAAGTGTACGGTCATATCGGAACTTTTTGCTAGGAACCCAACCGAGAGCCTCCAACATTGTTGGAACCAAACCAGCCTAATGCTGGGTTGCCAAGCCTACGTGTGACTTGTCGTCGTTTAGGCTCGGCACTGCGCCATGCAGTCGAAGGATCATTGAGCGCCATATGGCAGTTAGTGAAACGACTGGTTCATTAGCAATTGAAGCTGCGCATCGCGAACGCGGACCAATAGGGATAATGGTCGTGAGCATGCTCGAACTTGTACACGTGGTTGGACTATCGTTGGTTAATCCCCGCCGAAACAATGAGGGATAAGGTTGTCGACTAACAGCATGCATGCACCAGTCTGACGTCAACGCGGATGCAATGTTCAATGGAAACTGGCTTTTTACAACTGGAAAATAAGCACCACTCGCAGCCAGCCGTTCATGAACTAATTTGCCCACGTAGTATGTTTGCCAGAGTGCTACAAGTGCTCATTAACACCATGCGCGAAACGACCAACGATGTTATTACAACGCAGCAATACCGATCCTAATGTTTTCGACAACGTTCATGTACATCCCAGCTGCGTGCCACTTGGCATGAATCGGAATCCTCGCGTGTGATTCTCACCTTTCAAGGTGCACCCATTAGGGATTGCTCTAGCAAACCTGTCGCTGTGTACAACGTCGACTTGTTAAAAAACAGACCGCGAGCATGAGCGAACGACGATACGCCAGCACAGCACTTGTGGTTCCCAACAGGATAAAACAACGTTCGATTCACGAGCTCCCTCCATTCAGAGCTCGCCGTGTTCAGCACGCAAATCTCAAAATCGAATGCAGCTCTTGCTCGTGATTCGAGAACCCCGTTCACTCGCACTCTTATCGATTGTCTTACTCATTACCTGATCTGTTACACCGACTATCCTGCATTCGTTGTTTAAAGCTTCACCAGTCCCATTCGAACGCTGTCGCATTAGCAGTCCCTATAGGCCTTGTTCACAAGATTCAGAGATTTAGGCCCGCCAAGTTAGCACGCTTTACTCATTCGTTTCCGTTACCTTACCGCTCACCCGCTTTCTCCGCTACCTTGCAAGGGTTAAAATGCCTACGGGCCGGCCTGAGGACCCTATGAAAGTTGGAGACGATGAGGAGGACGACTTCGTTGAGTTAGATGCCGAGCCGGATCACGTTGATGCGGATGGAGAAGATGCTTCGAAGGTTAGTGGCCGCCGCACGCGTAATAGGGGCGGCCAGCACCAAAAACGCCAAAAGACGTCTGGTGCAGAACAGCAACAAACCACGGGCCAGCAACAAACCACGGGCCAGCAACAAACCATGGGCCCGACTACTAGAGCGCACGGAGCATGAGTCACTGAAGAACCGTATTCATTCCAACCACCGCCTCCACCACAGAAATCGTTACCTCCGGCACAGGATCTTATAGCCGACATGGCCCGGAGCAACAAGCAGCTCCCGGGCATTACCCCGGCGTGCCGAGCTAGGAAAGAACCATCGGTCAAGAGTGGCAACTGGCCCACGAAGCTGGTTTCGAACTGGCATGGGCTCGGCACTGCGTTGAACGTGGCTGACGCACTCCACATGCAGGATGTAGCACCAATCACGGACACAGCGTTGGACTTCCACAACATGTAAGTCCCGCCATCCCTTGGGAGAAATTATGGGGACGGGAAGTCGGAAATCCCATGTCCTAAATGCCCGCACTTATTTCTACTATCCTTTGCGCTCCAACCCCCCTGCCTGTACTCGTGCAGAATCTTGGACATACGCCATCCGAAGTTGGACAATGGAAAAACATGGATCGCGCTTGATGTCAAAGCGTACGACTACTGGGCGTCACAAATGAAGCTCATTGCTTGCTACGATGACAAAGACACCTTCTTGCACTTCGACTATGTGGCAATTTTTGCCGCGGCTGAGTATGTGTTGTAATCACCCGCCCGAATTTGTTCTTACGTCTACGACACTCTAACCACTACCGTCGTGTTTCCTGCAGGTTTCACTTCTGCCTGTTTGTTCTAGAGAACGCGAGCACGCTTGTCACATCATCCGACGGTGGTGAGGAGCCGCCCCCCCCCAAGCTGTGACTATATGATTCGACAGGCCATCACGCAGCCAACACCGCCGTCGTCACAAATGTTCGCTTGTAAGTCTAGGGGCAGAGTGAGCTTGTAAACGGGTTGGCGCGAACCTGCTAATCTCTTTTCATGTCCTATGGCAGGATTCTCGCCTCGGAGCTGAACCGTGTCTACCCCTGAGGCACAGGTGTTGTCTGTGCCATCAAGGTGTTGATGCAGGTCCGGAGGATGGTGTGGGAGTATGTGCGACGGAGGTTGAATGTGGTGTAATAGTCGCTGACATACTCCCACCCGTTCTTGTTTGCCAAGGGGAAAAACTCCATGGCGTGTGCGCACGGAAAAGCATACTCTGTCCAATTGCCACACTCACGGCTACCCTCGCCACGTAGGTCGACGTTGAAGCTTTGTGGAGTAGGGTCCGTCGTGTTGCCGTTGTTTATCACCTCCGCCAGGAATTCGATGTTGGAGATTTTCACCTCGTAGTTCTTTGCCCGCTCGCACTTCGCCTCATACCGTTTCCTGCCCCACTCCGTAAAGTAGTCATCCCGGGCTCTCGCCTCCTCACGTCGCTCATGAAACTTCTTGACGTTGTAGTCCCACATCGATGCTAACAGATACGCGGGTGGCAGGCGCCGGATGGATTTTACGGCCCCGTTGGTCGACTCCGCCATGTTGCTAGTGTAGATGCCGAATCTCCTCGCTGGGGCCGCACATCAAGCCCACTGCTTCTCGTACACCCAGATTCTGTTCCTTCGTGCAGTTTAATCACCGCGAAAGCCTGTTCGGACCCAAACGCCATCCTCACCGTCCTCCAGGGAGTCCTCTTCCACGACTTTCGCCTCGTCCTCTACAACGCTGGGCCTCTCCTCGTTGGTTTGCCCAAGCGCCGTTCCCGGATCCACGGTGGGAGGAGGAGGGTCACGAGTTGCTGCCGCGGTCGGTGGTGGCTGGCGGGTGGGTGTTGCGGTCGGTGGTGGCTCCCGGATTGGTGCCTCAGTTGGTGGTACGACTCCCGGGACCGCAGCTCTTAGCACAATGTTGTCAAAGTTTAAGCACGCGGCTGTTCCTCACCATCCGCAAGGCACGACGATCGGTGAAGATCGTCGTAGTGGAGGTGGCTCCGGCTAGGAAAAATATGGTGCGGTTGTTCCTGCAAGATGGGTTGCAATAGGGACACCGCAAAGGACATTATGGTTGTGTGTTTTGCGGTACAATATGAGAAGCTCCCGATCTTGTAAGGACGACCTCTCATATATGCGACTATCTGACCTACATGTAAAGATTACTTCGTGCATATTGTCGTTACTACCACACATATCATGGTATGAAAGAACGGAGGATCGCATTAACAAACCGTTGTTCAACGAACCTGATGCAGCAGATGGGTCGAACGGAGTGGATGGTGACGGTGTTGCGGATGGTCTTGCAGTAGTGGCCGGGCGAGGGGTTGCAGAGGGCATTCGCACTGCGGGTGGGCAGGGCGCTGCGGATGATGCAGGTGCAGCGGAAGGGCGGGTCGCAGAAGCGCGTGGCGGTGCTGCGGATGGATGTGGCGCTGCTAACGATGGGCATGCCGCTTCGGATGATGCAGGTGTCCCGGATGTGCGTGTCGCTGAAGCGGGTGCTGTGGACGGGCGGGGCGCTGTGGACGCCCCTGGCGCTGCAGATGGGCTAGGCGCTACGGATGATGCAGGTGCAGCGGATGGGCGGGTCACAGCAGAGGGTGACGGTGCCGCGGATGTGCGCGTCGCAGCAGCGGGTGACGGTGCTGCGGAGTGGCGGGACGCTGCTGAATGCCCAGCCGCTGTGGCATTCGGAGGTGGGCGTTCTGCGCCGCCCTGTCTCTGTCGCTGGCCGCGTCGCCGCGACTGTGATTGGCGAGCATGCCGCCGTGCTTCCGCCGCTTCGGCCGCAATGTTGTTGGCGGTCGCGCGCGTCCGGCGTGTTTGCTGAACATTGCGTCGGCGAATACGAAAGCCAGTTGGTGGAGTAGGGTTTGGCCCAGGCGCGTCGGCCACAGCCGCCGGACCGTAGAGGTAAGTCGTGAGCAGGGGATGGGATTCCCGTGCACCGATCTTGAGCTCTCTGTACATTTCCAAAGACCGGGCTGTCAAAAGCCACCATAACATGTCCGCGGAAGTCTTCCCGAACCGCTTCACGTTCTGCTGCATGTGCCACCCACAGAAGTAGTGCGCCACCTTCTCAGGGAACACTTCCTTCACCGCCGGGATGAGGCCTTTGTCCCGGTCGCTGATGATGGACGCGTCGTCCCGTCCCTTCCAATCGGAGCAGTGCTTATCAAAGAGTCGGCAAAACCAAGTCCATGTGTCCTTGGTTTCGCTCTCAACGAGCGCCCACGCGATGGGGATGATCTGCTGATTGCCGTCCATCGCATTGGCGTACTGCAGAGTAGCCTTCTGAGCACGGATCAGGAAAGTCCCGTCCATTGCGATGAGAGGCCTGCATGTCTTCAGTGATTCGCGTGTTGCACTCGGCGCCATGAAGAAGCGGAGAAATTCGTGATTGTAAGTCAAAAGCTCCACGGTTGCTTCGCTGTCGATCTGCCGAATGCGCTCTTGCAGCGCCGGAATGTAGCGGAATGACTCGCACCAGTCGCCGAATCGCTGCGCCGTGATCCCTACCTTCAGCCTGCGTAGGTGAATGTATGGGTGGTATCGGGGCATGAGTAAAGTGGAGGCAACACAGTCACTAACAGAAAAGATGTCTTCGAGTTCGGCCTATGTCGGGTGTACGCTCACCAGTAAGCGTTGTTGTAAGTTAACTTCGGACCAGAGCAGGCCTGAATCTGCCTGGCGAAAACCCAAGGGGCGTTGAACGGCGCTGCATGTACGAAGTTGCCGAATTTCCGCCAAAGGTACTTCCTCTTACGTCCCATACCCGGCCACCACCGGGTCCGGTAGACACGGTCGCATGTGTGCTCTGCAGGATCTCACATCTCTACGATTCGCCACGGTCCGTTTCGCTCGAGGCGAGCATAGCTGCACCGCCATGGACAAGCCGGGTCCAAACCAAGCTTTTGACTCTTGCACAACGCTAGCGCCGATGCCCTTCTGGTAGACTTCATGTAGAAACCGTATTTATGCACTACCGCATCATCAAGCAAGGCAAAGAGGCAATGGCAGCGTTGTCATTGATAGTAGGCCCCTCCTCGGGCTCAAACTCTATGTCGAACTGCTCTAGGATGATGTCATACATGTCACGGCCATTAGCCGAAGGTTCCTCCATTGTGGATCTGATACATCACCTATGTTATCCACTCGCAATATGTAGGTGGTTAACCACTGCCCGGGTTTTTTAACGGTGAGACGCGAATACCGGTATGAACGACATGTAGAACTGCATCTGGTGTTGGTGTAGCATGGACTCGAAATCCCTGACACTTCGTATCACAGCTAGGAACAACAACAATTCACTTGTCAGTCCCAGGTGGCATAATCTTGGCAGTGGTTGTCACCGGTGCGTATCGTCAAAAATCGCGGCGGCTGAATTGTGTTATGATCGCTGGTGCGTTTATTACCAATTTCTGAACACATTAAACCCAATCAAGCCCAGACGTGTGGCATACATATGTATAAGTGGCGCGATAATTGCAAATATGAACGAACTGTAAAGTAATTTTCAAAGCTGCCGCCAACACAACGATTCGCGTGCATTCCTGCATGACGTGTCTATCGCAAGTTCTCGCACGTGGAAGCGAGTTCAGAATGACAGCCTTCAACCGAGTCGCTCGACACATGAAGTTGTGTAGCGCAGGTTTATGGTAACGTATTTGTAGATGCGCCTGTCACGCACGACAGAATGGTTAAATAACACTGGCCAATCTTATTTCGCCACGTTCAACCCCACAAGCCTCCATTCCCCCACTGTTGTGAACCGAACCTCAGTGCCGAACCCGGACTCGCTCTACCTTCGCTGAACCGACTTCCACACTATCAGGAGCGAAATGCCCAATAGGATGATACTGCGTGGCAGGGGAAGATCGATGTCAACCAGCAAACTGCCCACCGACAAATTGGAACCCCCCAAAAAAATCCCTTATGGTGTTTAAATGAAGCTAAATCTTGTCAAAATATATATGTGGTATATATATATATATGAAGGCTGTAGTGGGGCAGCCAATACAGGGTACAACCCTATTAGGGTTTCATATTTGTACCCAAACTCATCCTTAGTTCATCATTCCTGCCTGTAGTTTCTAACATGGTATCAGAGAAGTAGGTCCGTAGGACCGTTTTTTCCGGGCCCACCTACCGTTGTGGTTACTGAGCTGCCCCACGTGTTACATGCGCTGCGCTGCCTGTGCGCACCTTGCCTTGCCTGCGCTGCGCTGCCCGCGCGCGCAAACCCTAATTCTGCGCGCAGCACGCTGCTGCCCCACGCGTCGCGTCCGCCGCCTTGCGCAGCCCGCTGCTGCCCCGCGCGCCGCGTCAGCAGCTCGCGCAGCCTGCAGCAGCCCCGCGCGCCACGGCTGCCGCCCTCGCGCAGCCAGAAGCTGCCTCGCGCGCCGCATTCGCTGCTCGCGCAGCCCGCGGCTGCCCCGCGCACCGCCTCAGCAACTCGCACAACCCGCAGCAGCCCCGCGCGCCGCGGCTGCCGCCCTCGCGCAGCCCGCGGCTGCCTCGCGCGCCGCGTCCGCCGCTTGCGCAACCCGCGGCTGCCCCGCGCGCCGCGTCCGCCGTTCGCGCGGCCCGCTGCAGCCCCGCGCGCCACCTACGCAGCTCGCGCCGCGCCGTAGCAGTCCACGTACGGCCTGCTGCAGCCCCGTGCGCCGCCCTGCCGCCGACGCGGCCCCGCCAGGTCGCTGACGCGGCCCCACTCTACCGCCGACGCGACCCTGCACTGCTGCTGACGCGGCCCCGCCGTGCCGCCGACGCGGTACCGCCCTGCCGCTGTAGCGCCCCCCACCCCCCCCCCCCCACACAACCTGCCGCCGACGCGGCCCCGCCTGGCCCCGCCCTGCCGCTGACACGGCCCCGCCCTGCAGTAGCTGACGCGGCCCTCCTCTGCAGCTGCTGTTGCGGCCACGCTGTTGTCACCGTCGTACGCTTACCCTGCCGCCGCCCACCGAGCGCCGGCCCTGCCCGCCACTGGTGAGCACCTGCCCTGCCCGCGCTTCCTGCGCGACTGCCTTGTTTGCGCGCTGCTACGCCACCTGCCTGCCTGCCTGCCTGCCGGCCTGCCTGCCTGCCTGTCTGCCTGCCTGCCTGCCTGCCTGCCTACCTGCCGGCCTGCCTGCCTGCCCGTGCTGTCACTACCACTAGGCTGCTGCTGCTGCTACTGCTGCTACTGGCGGTGGCCAGATGCAGCTCCAGCGACGTCCGCGCGAGTCTCTCACGCCCCAGCAGCTTCGTGAGTGGTACGCTAGTTGGGGTTGTGGCGGTAGCCGTCGTAGCTGTCGCCCTGGAGCTGGTCAGTCGGGAGCGTCTGGCAGTGGCCAGCTGCAGCTGCAGCGGCGTCCGCGTGAGACACTTACGCCCCAGCAGCTTCGTGAGTGGTACGCTCAGAGTAGAGGGTCTCAGAGTACCGTTCGCTGCCCGTACGTCATTCGCACAGGTGATCGGACTGGTCAGCCTTGCGGGACACTTGGTCACACACAGTCCCGCTGCTTCGCCCGCCTTAGTGACGCCTGGCGTACCGAGTTTGGTGACGAGGCTGAGCTCCCCACCTGGCTGGAGCTACTTAGGCAGAGGGTAGATATCTTTGCTCTTGACTATGATGTTATTCTCACTGCCATGTATGCATTGCCTACTAGTACGGAAGGTGTTTGTTACCTGTGCGTACCGCCTGACCCAGGTATAGACCCTGCTGCTCTAGGTGCTGGTGAGGCTGCTGCTCTAGGTGCTAGTGCGTCTCCTGCTCTAGGTGCTGGTGCGGCTGCTGCTTCAGGTGTTGGTGTGTCTGCTCTCTCTAGTGCTGCGCCTATTACGGTCTTGCACACCTTCACCCTTGACTCAGGAGCTTCCCGCTCCTTCTTTCGCGACTGCACCACACTTACGCCGCTTAGTCGGCCGGTTGCAGTCTCCCTGGCGGCTTGCCCACTACTCCACGGTTCTGCCGTGTCCGGCCGTCCCGTCTGGCTCGCTGTCAGGTCTTCACCTCCCCTCGTTCTCTACGAACTTGGTGAGTGGAGCTGACCTCCAGGATGGGGGGGTTGACCAGTTCACTCCTGCGAGTCAGCGAGTGACTCACTGTACGTGTGCTCGGACGGGCCGCCACCTGGCCACGTTTACCCGTGCGCCTGGCTCGAGTCTGTACACACTGACCACTGAGTCCCCTCAGGTCGCTGCGTCTGTTTCTGCGTCAGGCCAGCTAGCGGCCCCCTGCTCGTGTCGCGCTTTGTCGCACTACACCCTCCTTTGGCACCACCGTCTTGGTCACCCCTCGGTGCAGCGCCTTCGTAGCATGCACCGCCGGGTCCTTGTCTCTGGTCTTCCCCGGGTTCTCCCTCCCCTCCCACCCTCGCCTGCTCCTCCCTGTCTTCCCTGTGTTGAGGGGCGGCAGCGCGCCGCTCCTCACTCCTCCTCGTTTCCCCCGACGACTGCTCCCTTGCAGACGCGGCCTGCACATGGACGTGTGGGGCCCAGCCCGCGTCACTGGACAGGGCCGCGAGCGGTACTTTCTGCTGGTTGTCGACGACTACTCGCGTTACACCACGGTCTTCCCCTTGCGCACCAAGGGTGAGGTCCCTGATGTTTTGATCCCTTGGATCCACGCTGCCCGTCTCCAGCTCCGCGAGCGGTTCGGGACGGAGTTTCCCGTCCTGCGTCTGCACTCTGACAGGGGTGGGGAGTTTTCCTCCGACCTTCTGCAGAGCTTTTGTCGTGGGGAGGGCATTCGCCAGACGTTCACGCTTCCGACCTCTCCGCAGCAGAATGGGGTTGCTGAGCGCCGCATTGGCTTGGTCATGGAGGTTGCTCGTACCTCCATGGTCGTTTGCCATGGGTTGCTCGTACCTCCATGCGGCTGCCCCCCATTTTCTGTGGTCGTTTGCGGTCCGCTACGCCGCGCATCAGCTCAACCTCTAGCCCCGTGTCTCCTTGCCGGAGACCTCGCCCACACTACTGTGGACGGGGGAGGTTGGCGATGCGTCGGTGTTCCGGGTCTGGGGTTCTCGTGCCTTTGTCCGCGATACCACTGCGGACAAGCTCTCCGCCCGCGCTGTTCCCTGTGTCTTCCTTGGCTTTGTCCCAGACGCGCCTGGTTGGCAGTTCTACCACCCCACCTCGCGCCGTGTCTTTGCCTCTCAGGACGTCACCTTTGACGAGTCGGTGCCCTGTTACCGTCTCTTCCCCTACCGCACTGCCCCTCTTCCCCCCCGGCCCCTCTTCCTCGCTCCAGGTGCTGCCCAGGTAGACTCCCTACCCGCTCCCGGTCATGCTCCACCCCTGCCTGCGTCGGTTGAGGTCACTGGTGACTCAGGTCCTGCTGAGGGTGGTCCTGCTCGGGGTGCTGCTTCTGGGGGTGCTGAGCCTGGGGGTGCGGAGCCTGGGGGTGCTGAGCCTGGGGGTGCGGAGCCTGGGGGTGCGGAGCCTGGGGGTGCTGAGTCTGGGGGTGCTGAGCCTGTGCGTGAGGAGTCTGGGGGTGCTGAGTCTGGGGGTGCGGCGCCTGAGGGTACTGAGCCTTCTGGTGCGCGGTCTCCTTGGAGTGGCCGCCTTCGTCCGCG